TTACCTACAAATATATAAAAATAAGTCAGGTTTTCCTTCCTGATGAAATAACTCCAGAACGCACGAACCGATTTCGACAATTTTGCATTTGTCAATTCTTGCCGCAAAGAATAATGATGTACACGCATTGAATTTCACCATTCAATAAAATATTTCTGGCTATTTGATGACATACCAATGATTCCGACTGGTCTACCGTTTGACTTCAAACGATTGCAATTTCCAGTTTGCCTTGCGTTCGCAATAACAAGTCGCAAGGCCAATCGCTTAGAGTTTGCGGGATAAATTACAAATAGATTATTTAGAAAATCATTGTTTTTCACATAGGCAGTTATACGTTGCCTGCTCACGAGTTGGTAAACCATCCGCTTTGTTTATGTTAACGTCAGACCAAAAAAGAAAAAATGTGGTTTACCAAAGAGCACTTCAATGAAACGGATAATTTGCGGATTCACTATCATTTACTTAGAGAAGTTCAACTAAAAAACACTTCATTTTTATAATCGAAATTAATTCATTACTGTTGTGTAATAAAATCAAATTTTTCCTTTTCAAATATAAAACAAATAAAAATTTCTTCATCTTTCTCACGAAACCATCTGGTGGCGAAACGGAGTTCGTTGGGTTTGCTAGTATATATATATATATATATATATATATATATATATATATATATAACAATCATGGTGAATATAACAAGTAGGGTTTGATCCCTTTTTTGTTAGATTTCTTGTCTTGTGTCTCATTTTCCCGTAATTTTTTAATGTTATAAATTATTTTAATATCTGTGTACTGATCAATAGTTGTTTGTTGGAATAGCGATATGTGATGTGATGCAGTATATTTGGACTAGACAGTATAATTACTTAAAATTGGACCTCTGTGCTCAGCCTTACCCTACTCATTAATCTCTAGTTTTTCTTCAGTCATATCACATTTTGTTCTTATAATTTTTTATTATTTCATCTCTGTATAATTATAAAATATTCTTCTCGTTTAAAAGTAAAAACACGAAATAATCAGTATACTTCCAGGACATCAAAAATAAACTATTTTTGATTGCACTATCAGTAAAACAAAAATATTAGTTCTTGAATTATTATCTAATTTTGCAATATATATTCTTAGTTTATTTTAACCGTAAATTAATTTTTGCATTTGTTTTTATTACAAATTGTGCTATTGATTCAATATAAATATATAAATGGTTTCATATAAAATTTCTATAATAAGTCTGTTAACTTACCTTACCTGTTCTTAATTGATGAAAATAAAATGTTTTCATTGAAATCTTTGTCTAATTTTGAGGGTTTTAAGCATAGGACGACCAGTGTTTTCAAATATATAGCTATAAACAGATACATTAATTTGTAAGGATTTATGGGCAAATTTACGCCAAGAAGTTTTCTTTCTTATTTATATGTTATTTTAATTTATTAATTATCTTTTTATTCAATATTTAAATATTTTAATTTTACCAAATGTCTATAATCGTTTTTACAAAATTCGTTTTAAACTACTTTAGTTTTTACTTTCTTTGTAAGGTGTGAAATTTATTTTTATGTTTCAAAACTCTGCATCTTCCTTCCAGTTTTCTCAAATTAAAAAACGATTTTTTTTTTCAAATACCTCCAGTTTTTATTTTTGCCTAAAGTTATATGTAGTAATTTGTATCAAATAATCTCTTTTTTAGTCAAAACTTGTGAATTTAGTCTATAATATAATTGTTTAATAATATTTTTTGTAAATAAGATTATTTTAAATTTTGTCTAATAAAATTAGGTGACTATAATGAATGTCTACATATCCATATATGATAAAAATGTTTTCCAGCAATTGACAATTTTTTCTGAATCGATAAAATTACACTATTTGCATCGAACTCTTTGTATAATTTTAAGATTTAAGCACTAAGATTTAAAGAAGTCTAATTATTAACTTCCCGAAGGAGAAGTTTATGTTCTCATCAAAAAATCCGATTCGCTAATTTTATGTTTTCTCGACGTTTCAAACCATTCTGAATCGAATGAGACCAAATTTGGAAAAAGTATGTGTGTGTGTTTTTTTGTATAGCGAAGGAAATGCCTTTATGCATCCCAGACCGCGCTTCTGTGTGGGTATGTCGGACTCGATACCGCCCTGGTATAATACCGACTAAAACCTCCGCTTTGCCCTTGCCTCTGGTTCCCACGGAAACCGCCGTTAGGCATTACTTCATGGAAGGAGGATCTAGAATGATATAAATTCTTAACTTGTTATAATCAATGTTATAATTCATAAACATTATACTTATCTTTTAAATGCGCACAGTCCCATTCGCCCTTTCTCTTTCTATAGAACGCAGGTCCATTAAAACGTCTTTCGCAAATCTGTCTATTGCGTTCCAAGCAGCATCACTTCAACAACATGTGTGTGTGTGTGTGTGTGTACCAACAGATTTTTTGCCGTAAATCGCCGTTTTCTCAAAAACGGCTGGACCGATTTAAAAAATTTAAAAGCCATTCGATGTATATGAGGACGATTGTTTGTCAGTTTTGTGCGACCATCGGCCAAGCCGTTTCTTCGTAAATAAAGAGAAAGTGAAAAGTTTTTCGTCCACGTTTTAGCCCGCAGTTCTGAATCGATTTTGAAAATTCAAAAATCGTTCGAAAGATATTGGTTGGGAATCGACCTGATTAGTTTTTGGTAAAGATCGGCCGGGCCGTTTTCTTGTAATAGTTTTTTTTAAAAAAAATTCGACGATTTTTATGATTATTTTTTTGACGGTAGATACCATAGTCTTCTAGATCATATAATATATTACGGCCCTACGACAACTGGTTCAGCTTTAAAAATTCGACAAATTTTGCATAAATCGGTATCGTTTTTTTTGGAATTTGTCAAAATTAGACCTTTGATCGACGTTTTCTCAAAAACGCCTGAGCCGATTTTAGAAATTTAAAAGCCATTTGATGTATTTGGGTGAGGACTATCGTTTATCAGTTTTGTGTGGCGGTCTGCTAAGCCGTTTCTTTTCAATTTGAAAAAAAGTGTTAAACTTTTCGTCCACATTTAAGCTCATTCTACCGAATTGCTTTAAAAAAATCAAAAACTGTTCGAAAGATATTAGTTGGGAATGGTACTGATTAGTTTTAGGTGAAAATCTACCGAGCCGTTTTCTTGTAATTAACTGTTGAAAAAAAAATAAGCCGATTTTTATGGATTTTTTTAGCGATATATACCATGGGCTTATAGAACTTACTGAAATATTACGGCCTTACGACAAATAGTTTGATTTTAAAAATTCATCAAAATTTCAGAAAGTGAGTAGTTCTTTTGACATTTGTTAAAATTAAAATTAGACTATTTACTTGGTATAATGATAGAGTACTTGGTCTTGAACATAATCAACCATTAAAGTCCTGGAAACTGGTTCAATTATCAAAATTATTGATTTTTGAAAATTTGCTTTTAGAAAATACTCCGAGTCTAAGTGTTCGTTCGTTTTCAATTATGTGTAATAAATCCACTCGGAATACTTTCAATCACTCATAAATTAATTTATTTTTTATTTATTAAGTCGATTATTTAAACATATCGGGAAGTTCATGTAACTTGCCTCAAGGCTAAATGCCAAACCAACTAGTTTAAAAATGAACACTAGAGTGTATAGTCCCAGTATATTTCCAGCATATCAAAAACCAAACCATTTTTGATACTACTATCAATAGAACCAATGAGCTTTGAATAAAGAGTTAAATTTCAATATAACAAAAACATTTAAATCAGTAACATTTAAAAGTAATTTTAGTAGGTAATCTTTTTATTTGCGCAAATAATCAATTTCACGTTTGTAAAAATGTATTTCTTATATAAATGTTATTTTTATCTATCAATTGATATATTTTTATGATATCGTATTTATATAATAATTTTTACACACTTGATTTTAAACTGCCATTAGACGTTTTTGCTCTCTGGTCTGAACTTTACTTCTTGATTCTCCTGCTTCTATTTCCACCTATCTCTTTTTATATATCTAGCAATAATTATATTTTTTGTAAAGTATTATGTGTAAAGTTTTATGTAGTTATATGTTGTAATTTTTATCAAAAAATTACTTTTACAATCTAAGCTTACACATTGAATGCACACAATTTAAATCAAGTCATATATACATTGAGTTGTTTTCCTGTCAACATTGTCTAGCCAATCTTTCTAAATTAATATTAATGATGGTTGCAACAAATTCATATAAATTTAGATTGTAACAAGTAAATTTTCCTGTGGCATATTAATAGCCATTGCAATTGTCAGTCTAATTTGAAACTCAATTTTATAAATTGCATTGGCACATTTAAGTATTCAGAGTTTTGACATTTTTGCTTTTCTTTATTTTATTAAATTATTTTTTATGCTAAATTCTTTTAGTATATTAAAAGCATGGTTAACATTAAATATCCTGTTCCAAAACAAATCGCTTAGCTACATTATTTAAACATATTTAATCAACTCAACCTCAGTAGCTTTCTTTTTGTATATAATCCTTTTTATAGTGTAAATTCTTTCCCCTTTATTATTTTCGCCAGAATTAATATGACGCTGCTGACAATTCATTGATTATTAAAACTTGAATTGGGTGAAAAATATGTTCATAGAATTAATTATGTTAAGTATGACTTGATTCATTCTATTCATGTGAGTTAACTATAGCATTATCGATGAATGCATCAATTCTTCTGGGAAGACATAAAACCTTAAACTATATTCTCAAGTATATAGTTTAGAAATTGTATTCAAATTTTTGAACATTAAAAAATGTAACAAACAAGGATTACATATTGCCTTTGGATATGCTACAGTTCGGTGACAAATTGTTTTAAATTTTACATTTTTTTTAATAATCAAGCAATTGGACAGTAGATTGTCTTGATTCAAATATAACACCCTGTATAATTTTGCTTTTTTGAACCAATCTCATTGGTTTTCAGTAGTAAATAATGAATCTTACCTACGAATGATCAGATTGGAGTATACGATCTTATCTTAGGTTGGCTTGATTTAAGGTTACCAATTGCATCTACCACTTCCTGCAAGGGCATCGGTCTCATCTTAGATTTGTCTGATTTAAGGAAAGGTCCACTGTTGTTAACAGTTGCTTCCACCACTTCATGCAAGGGCATTGGTCTAATCTTGGATTGACTGGGGTTACCTATTGCTTCCACCACTTCTTGCAAGGGCATTGGTCTCATCTTGGATTGACTGGGGTTACCAATTGCTTCCACCACTTGTTGCAAGGGTCTCATCTTAGATTGACTGGAGTTATCAATTGCTTCCACCACTTCCTGCAAGGGTCTGAAAAAGTGACATAATTTCAAATTAATATTTTTTTAGATTTTTGTTATTTCTGTAGAATTCTACATTCTTATATTCAAGTTTTCCAAAATTATTAACGAGGGTTATTCATATTCATTAACAAAATTTGAATATATGTAAAGCGATCAAAATGTAAAAGAATTGCAAAAATCTTACATCTAACTTGAACTTCGATTAAAGTAGCATACACTTTTTGATATGCTTGCATGCTACAGACAATAGAAAAGAATTGGAAAACAAGAAAAACTAGTAAAGAAAAATTAAATACAGAAACAGTCATTAAAATTGGGGAAAAAATTAAAAACAGCTCTTAAGAATTTGAGAAAGCTCTGCTCTAGGAAATTTATGCGGAAGTTTTTGATAAAAAAGTTCAACAAGTAAAATGTATAAAAAAAAGTGTCTTTTTGCACTCATGATGATTTGGGCAGATCTCTTCATATCATTGTAATCCTGAAGCCAAAGATGGATTTCTTTTTTCAACCATCGTACTAGAATAACACTGTATCTCATTATGAACATAGGCGTAATAGTAGTCGATGGAAATACATTAATTACCACATACGGTGACGTGTGCAGACGGCACCGTGACGCTTCTGAATGTATTCTATGACAAGGCGTGCGTTATCTCCTCATATCCGAGAGAAAAACACTACACACCAGATAATTCACAAACAAAACGCATTACCCATCAGCGAATTACCACAACGCACCCGTTATAGATTTCTGATTTCTAATTATTGAATTATCGAGCAAAATAATAACATTTATTTATGATTTATATTTTCAAGTTACCAGTTCTATCTCAAAAACAGGTTTTATCTTCATATTTAATATTCAGTTTCTACATTTTTATTGCTCTTTTTGCAAGCCATTCAAAAACACTACTTTTTGTGCAGATCGAAAGAAATTTGTACAATGGGAATTCTGCAAGTGATAGGCAAAAATCGATCACTCATTTGATGAAATGAGTGATCGATTCTTATGCTTGTCATACACAAATTATGTTGTAATCACTCCGTCCCCAATATCTAAGAATTGTTTGAAAACTTTTCAAGGGATAGAGTGAGTGGGTAAATTTAGACTTGTCTATAAGTTCAAAACCTTTTGATCAAAATTCAATGGTAGATGTTTACAGCAAAGGGGACATTTAATCAGTTATCGAGTTCCATAATATAACAATCTAAATATCAATTTATCATACATATATCTGAAATACTAGTTAAGATTTTTTAAACAACACTATTTGAAAGTAGAAGGTAAAAGATGTATAACCAGCCATTTTTACGACGTTGCCATCGAAAGATAATATGATGATAAAACCATATAGAGTTTTTTTTCATTAATTGTTTTCTTGATTGTAAGCAGTGTTTAGTTTTCGAGACTTTAATATAACTTTTAGTATACGTTATTTAATTAATTTATAAGATGTCTTGTTATTTTTAAGTTAGTTTCAACAGTTTTTTTTATAAAACCTCTATAAAAACTTACATATGTGTGTTAAAAAGGACCAACAGAACCGTTACCAGGCAGAGGTGTGAGCCATTAAAAATATTAATTAAAATAGTAAATTAAGTTGAAAAGCAATTTTACGAGAGATAAATTAAATAAATAGTTGTTTTAACTTTTCTGATGAATATTTCTGGCGAAATACCAGATTGCGGTTATATACAGTATTATCTCTGTAAAAACGTACCCAGGTAATTTATTTTTGACATTGGTTGAAGAATAATGTTGTGAAAATTATTAAAATTATATATACATTATTTTTTAATATTAATGAACTATTTTTTTTAATATTAATAACCACAACTTTTAGAATATTACCAATCAAAAATAAGACTAATATTAAAATATTTTTTATACTTTCACCCAAACATCCACACCTCTACCCAATCCTTTACAGCCCTAACTTCTCGACTCTCCAACAAAATCAGAACACCATCTCCAATTGCTCCATAGTATCACAACTCATCGACGAAAACTTAACAAAGAATGTTTCTTTTCAATTGACCTTTAAGAACCAACTTGACACATGCACATACAATATCAACTTCATTGACACGTACATTTGTCATGATAATGAAAATTTCATTGATTCGAACTTATATGTCGACGTGATCAAGGTGAGACTTGTTTTAGTTTATTGGGTGTAATTGAGGAATATCAGAATTGTCTTCAAGGTTTATGTCGTCTTTTAGCTTGTGTGCATCATTTATGAAACATAAGTGTTCCATCTCACATGTTGCCACCAGAAACTGGCACATTTGTTCAATATGATGAAATTAAATAAGTTTACAAATTTTAAACAGTCATAACACGCTTTGCATTAAAATGTAATTAATTATTTCTTTTAATCTCTCCAAAAACAATCAGGTGCGTGACCCTTCACACAAGAAAAAAAATTTACACGTCCTATTATGTATAAAGATATCAGCATTGGTAAAGACTACGCACACAGCCGCACGCACGCTTACGGTGTACGATCGCACTTATAAAGTAAACTCCTTGGCTCGTAGATTAGGCTTGCCGCTACCACCAGTCATATAATTCGACTCCCAGGCTGCATATATATTACGAGTATTTCAGCTTTTGAAGTTATTTCAGCTTTACAAGTAATTATATTTTATGTTTTCTTCGGGATTGTATTTAATTTCGACTGACCGGGCATGTACTAATTATTAATTGGAATGGTTTCAGACACGTGTACTCTTTTTGGATATAATTATTATTGAAATAATTAGAGGAATCTCAACGCTTTGATGTCAATGATCAAGCATTATCTTGAGTACGGCTGTTAGTACTTGCATACTGTTGGGTATGTTTTTGCAATATGATTTTGTAACTTACTAACGAGTATAAAATCAATATTATATATAATAATAAAAAATACTTGTAACAAACAACTTCAGAAGAGAACGCACATGGTATCTTGTTGCATAGAACTATTAGGAATGCATGTCATAAGTACAACATACAATCATTCATATTAAAAAAATGCCCATTTATTGTTATTTGTTATCAACTTTCGTAGGGTAAATTATAGTAACTGCAAAAAAAAAACAAAAATATTTTTTCCACAAATGTATTGAAGCTAGTGCTACGTACACAAAAATGGAAATCCTTACTAAATACATATGCTATGTTTGGCCGTATGATATGCAAAATCCGAAACTTTTCAAATTCCTTTTATTTGTCCAGACTTATTTAAAGCAAATATTTCAACTAGTTTGCTTTGCTTTGCACCACTGATTTTTTTTACTTTCTTTTATATAGTGCTTGCTATAAAAAACCAAATAACGATTCGCAGAATATAAATCGACAAAATAGTGTAAATTTTTAAAATGCAATTTCTTAATATCTGAGAATACGTATTCAGTGTTACTGGCATAGAACAGGGATTGTTAAGCGGTTCTATGTATTCATGATATTTGTTTTTATTGTTTTCAATAAAATTATCTACCACATAATGTGTTGATAAATATGTTGATATATTTTTAATAAATATAATTAATTTAATATGTATTTCATGTTTTTGGCTTCGCTAAAACTTTTAGCCACATGTATTATTTTTATTTTGTTTCCTATTCTATTCGAAATATACATTACACTTTTTACATATATATTTTATATCTTGTGTTATATATTCTATTGCACTTAACATTCTTTATATAAAGTTCATATAGATTTTACGAACTTTTATAGTACAAACAATCGTTTTATTGAAGTAGATGTTCTTCCTTCATAATTTATTCCAATGGTATATATATATATATATATATATATATATATATTATATTATATATATTATATATTCTATTGCACTTAACATTCTTTATATAAAATTCATATAGATTTTACGAACTTTTATAGTACAAACAATCGTTTTATTGAAGTAGATGTTCTTCCTTCATAATTTATTCCAATGGTATATATATATATATATATATATATATATATATATATATATATATATATTGGTGTATTGCGTACACTACAATTATATTAACTTAACCTAAGCAGTATTTATAAGATGATTAACGATAATAACGATCATCTCCTTTTATCATTTCTCAAACAGGGAAGCTAAATAATTTTATATTTCCTTCTAATAAATAATATTCCCTCTAATAAATAAATGTTTTTAATGTTAAACTATTCGAAAAAAGTCTAAACATGTTAGTTCAAATTTGTTTTAGCTGATGTTGAATATGTTAATGGTAAAATAGCTCTGTCCACAAGACTACCAATTTTCAAAACTCCCCAAGTTCTTTCCGGACAAAACTCTCAAATGACTTCAGTAATAGGTTTAATGTAAATAATCGATACATTCTACAACCAACGAAATGCTGCAAATAATATATGAAGTTATATGTGTACTTGATGTAGTAAGCTATTATTTAAAGATTCACTTCATCAAGAATGTAGAGTTCCTACAAGCTTCCTCTCGGTCATTCTGTTTAGCGAACTCGGTAATTACAAAATCGATGTTGCGCTAATTCACTTAACAGATTCTCATTCCGTTTTCTACGCCGAGCTGTGTGATTACTGTAATAAACATGTAAAACTAATTGCTGAATTTATAACTTAATTGTTTACTGCCTTTAATGTTTTATTCGTACAACCTTATAAGTCCTTGGCTTTATACTCGACATATAAATGAATCAGTTCATCGCAATATTTCACATATAACTCCAAATCTTTATTTGTATGACAAAACTGACATCTAATATTAGATACGTTATATCTATATTTTCACTAAATTATTTATTTAAAAAAAAAAATTCTACGCTCTATAGGCAGACTAATGTACAGACATATATGGTATAAGTAGATCGCAAATATGGCCGCTTTGCTATTAACTTCCCGCAGGAGAAGTTTGTTTTTATAAAAAAATCCGATTTTCTAATTTTATGTTTTCTCGGCGTTTCAAACCATTCTGAATCGAATGAGACCAAATTTGGAAAAAGTGTGTGCGTGTG